CCTCCTGCCTCAGCCTCCCGAGTAGCTGGGACTACAGGCATGCGCCACCATGCCCGGCTCATTTTTTTCTCTATATACATTAGTTGGCCAATTAATTTCTTTCTATTTATAGTAGAGATGGGGTCTCGCTCTTGCTCAGGCTGGTTTCGAACTCCGGACCTCGAGCAATCCTCCCGCGTCGGCCTCCCAGAGTGCTAGGATTACAGGCGTGAGCCACCGCGCCGGCCTGTCTTATTCCCTTGACTTGGCTCGACGCCTGCCCTGGAGGAGCTGCTCAGCAAATCTTTGTTGAATGAACAAATGACTAATTGACAGCAGACTCTTCCAGTTGTAATATTCTAGAAAGTCAGCTGCTCTTAATGTAGTAATGATAGTGGGTATACTCAGCATTAAATAGAATAGGCTTAGATGAAGAGGTAAACTTGGCAAGTTTTCTTTTTATTTTGAAATAATTTCAAATTTACACAAGAATTGCAAGAATAGAACAAAATTTTCTTGGTCTTCTGTGACTTTAATACTTTTGAAGTATATAAGCCAGTTGTTTTGTAGAATGTCTCCTAATTCAGATTTGTCTGATATTTTTTCATGATTAGATTCAGATGGTGAATTTTTGGCAGGACCACGACAGAAGTGATGTGCCCTTCTAAGTGCATCATATCAGGAGGTCTGGGAAGTTTTGTGGTCTTGTAAAATATATATTTGGTCAATAACCAAACTCAGTTTCTCCCACTAGACTCTCACAGCATGCTTCTGACACCAGATATGTGGGGATTTGTCCCCACCAGCAAGCAAGCAGTCACTTCTGTAGCAGACACCAGCTGGGTGTCCTTTAATTCAATTATTTTCTGATACTATCTACCTGGACGTGTGCCACCATGCCTGGCTAAGTTTTTAAAATTTTTTGTAGAGTCTCTCTATGTTGCCCAGGCTGGTCTCAAACTCCTGGCCTCAAGTGATCCATCTTCACGCCTCAGCCTCCCAAAGTGCTGGAATTACAGATGTGAGCCACCAGGCCTGGCCCTAAGAATTGCACGAACAGAACAAAGAATTTTCTTGCACAAAAGCTCACAGAACTAGGGAAACACTTACCTTTACCAGTTTATTATTGATTATAGGGGCCAAGGGAAAACTCTTTGCCCTCTGAAGGTTTGCTGAAAATCACTGACAGGAGACAGATTGATTGGAGAAAAGGCATACACATTTATTTGATCATAGTTTTACATGACAGGGGAGCCTTCAGAATGAAGATCCGGGGCAGCAAGGTGGCTTATGCCTGTAATCCCAGCGCTTTGGGAGACAAAGACGATTGCTTGAGTGTAGGAATTTGAAACCAACCTGGACAACATAGCAAGACCTCATCTCTACAAAAATAAAAGAAATAATTAGCTAGCCATGGTGACGTGTGCCTGTAGTCCAAGCTAGTTGAGTGGCTAAGGCAGGAAGATCATTTGAGCCCAGGAGTTCAAGGTTACAGTGAGCTGTGATTACACCATTGCACTCCAGCCTGGCTGACAGAGTGAGTGAGACTTGTTCTCTAAAAAAAAAAAAAAAAAAGAATGAAGAAGACCCCAAAATATAGGGGAACTTGTTTGTTTTTATGCTTAGGTTCAATGACGTGTCGATAGTTGTGTGGAAATATTTTTGGACAAATAGGCTATGATCTTTTTTCTCTTTCTTTTCCCTTCCTCTGCATTGCCTTGAAAAAAAGAGTACGATCTAATGCTAGCCAGGGAGGGGAAACCCAGCAAGGCCTGTCCGTCCAGATTCTTCTTGGTCTCTGAGTATATGTTCCTTCTGTCTGGGTGTGGGGCAGTACCCTCTCTGGAATGGGGGTCGTATGCCCTACAGTCAAACAAGGTAGGTCAGATAATTTCTTTATGGCCAGTTTTTACATAGAAAGGTAGAGGGAAAGTTAGAGTACTACTATTTTTAGGTTTTATGGGTAGCTTTGGATAAAAGGGGTTCTAGTTCATATGATTCGCCTTGGGGAAGAGGGATTCTCCCTCAGGGGAGAATGGGACTGAGAGCCAGGAGGGCAGAGAAAACCCTTTTGCTTCTGAGGCCTTCACTTTGGGGTATTGTTTTCTGGGTCCCGGTATTCTAAAGGATATTAGGAAAAACACAGATGAAGAGACGCACAGGGCAAGGTTATGTGGGAAGTGGCGCAGAGCTTCCATGCCTTCCCTGGTTTCACCACCCTCTAGGATTCAGCCATCCCGAAGCTCTTCAAACCCTGTCTTGGTGGGTTTTTATGGAAGCTTCGTTATGCAGGCAGGATTAATTAAATCTTTGGCCATTGATGATCAACTTGACCTCCAGCCCCTGTCTCCTCCTTGCAGGTTAGGGGGAGGAATGAAAGTCCCAAGCGTCTTACCCTGCCTTGGTCTTTCTGGTGACCAGCCCCATCCTGAAGCTACCTAAGGGCTGCCAGCTACCCGTCAAGTGTAATCCCAGCACTTTGGGAAGGCCGAGGGGGGAAGATGGCTTGAGGCCAGGAGTTTGAGACCAACATCAAAAGATACTTACCACTTTGAAGATTTCAAGAATTTTAGGAGTTGCTTGCCAAGGAACAGGGTGGAAGACCATGTACATATTTTATAATATCACAAGGTTCTATTTGCTAGGTTTTTCCACTGTGTGAAGTAGTAAAGTGGACCATTTCCTTTGCAATTCATAAGTATCTGTGGGGAGATACATTGAGACCATGTAAATGCCCCGTTCTCATCACACATTTACCCGGTACTTTTACCATCCACTGATGCCTTTACTCTGGTGATTACAAAACTTTTTAAGGCACAGTAAAATAATCCTTGTATTTGGCAAGATTCATTTGATTGAGATTACATTTGAGATTTGTAATAATTCCACGTGATGGAACCTTTTGAGGCCATGGTTCAAAGCGTGGGGTATAACTTGAGTTTTAATGTTCAGCATTCACTCATTGGTGCAGTGTTGGCTAACGAAGAATTGGAACTTTAAAAAAATTTATGAAGTTTAAATTTACAAAATGTATGCCCCCCCACCACAAAGAGTTCATCCTACTGTATAATTTAAAAAAATAGACATGAATTTAGTGATGCACATACTGACAGCTTAGCTTATAATGTGTGTGGTGCTTGAGAGTGACAGAATCAATTTTCAAAAGACTGTCAAGTTTCAGCTTTGTGCTAGACTAGATGGGATTGTTCCCTGTGGTCCCAGACAGGAACCATTATATGTTTTTTTTCTTGGTTATCTTTTGGTTTGTTTTGTTTTTGCTTCTCTGCCAGAGGTCACTAGGGGTGTCTCATTTCTGGCAGGAATAGCTCTGTTCCCTGGCCATAGCCAGGCAGGACCTCTGCCTCTAGGGGGCTGGCAGACAGCTGAGCCTTGGCCACTTGTTCTGAGCTGTGCACACCAGCCCTGTTCTTGGCCTGCTGCCTTCAGATGCCCTGTCGCACACTGACCCGCAGCGCTGCTCGCTGGTGTCTTCACTGCAGGATAATGAAACCAATTGTGCAAGATTCTAGGTTCTGTTAAACTTCTAGACTAATGCTATGTCATCAGGTTTCTGCAGGGATCTGAGGATTATTTAATTACTGTTTATCTTTGTTCCTATCGCTCCTCTTGCGTGTCCTATCAAGAAATAGTTGAAGGCTAAGGCTGTCACCTTCAGGATTCATTTGTCATTGAACTATTATTTCTGGGTTCCCAATTCTCTAACATTTTAAAGAAAATCTAGGGTAGGAAAAATTGTTACGGATAAATTAGAGAATATTTGGGGCCATTACTAGAAAAAAAAAAAAGGAGGGGCACTTCTACAGTGTGTCTTCATGTAGATGATTTCTCTGGTATGTTTATATTATATTTCGTTTTGTTAAACATACCAGGTCTCCCTAATGGAGTGGTGGGAGCCGCCCTTCTGAGCAGCTTACTGTGGCTCTACTTTTTGGCAGGCAGCTGCTCAGCATGTGGTTTTCTATAAAGACTTAGAAAACAGTCACTTCTTTCATTTCTTCTCATCCCAAGGAATAAGCTGCATTTTTTTGAGGAGTCCTGGGTTTTCCTGTCTGATCATGGGGGCCAGTAGCCAGTGTTCCCGGGGAGCCTTTCTGTTCCCAGCGGCCTGTCTCCTAGTGTGTCTTGGAGGTGCCTCTTCCCACAGGAAGAGTGGTCGCTAAAGGAAGAGACGTCTTGGTTAGAATCCTTTTCCTCGCCCCAAAGGAGGAAGCTTTCCTGAGCCTGCTGAGCTCATCAGAGTTTCAGAGTGACTAATGCCTCCCACCCACCCCGCCCCAGAGTGGGCTCCAGGACACGTGGGCTTTTTATGGAGTGTTCTTTCATAAGAAAACACACACACAACACACACACACATGCATACGCATATTTACAGACTGGTTCCTTGCTTTTTTTCCCAACAGTATATCTTGGGGATCTTGCCATATGAGTGCATATAATGTCCCGTCTTCTTAAAAAGTCTGCTGAATTTTGTTGAATTGTTATTACATAAATTATTTAGCCAGTCTTCTCTCTACCCCCTTTTTTTTTCTTTTTTTTTGAGAGAGAGTCTCACTCTGTTGCCCTAGCTAGAATGCCATGACGTCAGCCTAGCTCACAGCAACCTCAGCCTCCTGGGCTCAAGCAGTCCTTCTGCCTCAGCCTCCGAGTAGCTGGGACTACAAGGATGTGCCACCATACCCAGCTAATTTTTTCTATATATATTTTTAGTTGGCCAATTAATTTCTTTCTGTTTTTAGTAGAGATGGGGTCTCGCTCTTGCTCAGGCTAGTTAGAACTCCTGACTTTGAGCGATCCTCCCACCTCGGCCTCCCAGAGTGCTAAGATTACAGGCGTGAGCCACCGTGCCCAGCCTCCAAAAATTTTTTAAAAATTTTAAAACACTACCTGCTGGAACTAGTCTTCAAGATGTTGCTGGTCTCATGTGTCTGTTAATCTCTATCTTGTGGTTTGCTTGGTTCATTAGGAATCTTCAAAAACCAATCTCAGTTATTTGGTTGCAGGAACCAATGATGCTGCCAAAGCCTGGGATCTATTACCTGCCCTGGGAGGTCAGCGCTGGCCAAGTTCCGGACGGGGGCACGCTGAGAACATTCGGCAGGTGAGAATGGCTGCTTTTTCACATGGTGGAGGGTTCAGATATCTTCCCCCCACCCAAAAACACTTAACATTGTTTTACAACTTTCACTGATTATTAGAAAATGTTTAAAAATTATATGTTCATTGAAAAAAATATAGACAATCCGTAAAAGTTTAAAGAAAGAAAGCAAAGATCACCTGTAATCCCATTGCCCAGACAAAGCCCTTTGCCGATTATCTTTATACACGTCTCCATGTATGTGTGTGGGTGGGTGTGTATACACCCTATATATGTTTATACATACACACCATGTTACTCATATATTATTACGTAAGCAATTATCCTCAAAATGACAACAAATGTTTGTTATCTAATGGTTACTCTGGGTCAGGAGTTTGGGGGAGACTTAGCTGGGTGGTCCTAGCTCAGGGTCTCTCCTGGCACTGTCATCAAGCTGTTGGCAGGGGCTGCAGTAAGTGAAGGCTTGCCCGGGCCTGGAGATCCACTTCCAGGGTGGCTCGGTCACACGTTTGCCAAATTAGCACTGGCTCTTGGCAAGAAGGCTCAGGTCCTGACAATGTGGATTTCTCCACAGGGCTGCTTGCGGGTCCTTGTGAACACAGCAGTCTCTCCCAGAATGAGTGAGCCAAGAGAAAAGCAGGGTGGAAGTCGCAGTGTCTTGTATGAGCTAGCTCCCGAAGTCACGCTCAGTCATTTCTGTGGTACCCTGCTGGTTACACAGGTCAGCCCTGTCCAGCGTGGTAGAGGACACAGGAATGTGAATGCAAGGAGATGGGAATCATGGGAGATCATGTGGGAGATAGTGCACGTACATAAGGAAGTATTTTAACCAAGATGAGAGCCTATTGTATTATTAATACTATATTGGGCCGGGCGAGGTGGCTCACACTTGTAATCCTAGCACTCTGGGAGGCCGAGGCGAGAGGATCGCTCAAGGTCAGGAGTTTGAAACCAGCCTAAGCAAGAGCAAGAACCCTGCCTCTACTATAAATAGAAATAAATTAATTGGTCAACTAAAAATATATAGAAAAAATTAGCTGGGCATGGTGGCACGAGCCTGTAGTCCCAGCTACTTGGGAGGCTGAGGCAGGAGGATTGCTTGAGCCCAGGAGTTTGAGGTTGCTGTGAGCTAGGCTGACGCCACAGCACTCTAACCTGGGCAAAGAGTGAGACTCTGTCTCAAATATAATAATAATACTATATTGTACCATTTGTTTACTTAACTGTGTATGGTAGACCTAGTTCCATGTCAAATGTATAGATGGACATCATAATTTTTAATAGGCCCATTTTATTTCGCCATGTAGGTATTCCATAATTTATTTAGCCATCTTTCTATGGATTTTCAAGAAAGACATCAGTGTAATTTGGTGGAGAAAGGATAGTTATTTCAGCAAATGGTGCTGGAACTACTGGATATTCTTATGTGGGCCGAAAACACCTTGATCCCTACCTCACAACATACAAAAAAATAATAATTGGCACTGTGTCACAAATGTACAAACTAAAACTATAAAATGTCTAGAAGTACACAGAGTATCTTTCCATCTTTGAGACAGGCAAAGTTTTTGTAGATAAGACACAGTAAGCAAAAGCCATAAAAGAAAAAAAAAAAAGTGGACATCAACAAAATTAAAAGCTTTGCTTATCAAAAGATACCATTATGAAAATTAAAGGTAAGGGGAAGAAAATTAAAAGGCAATTCCCTCCTAGTCTACGATGTACACTGAAAATTTTTCTCTAATTTGTTGTTGCCATTTTTATTTCTCTTATCAGATTGAGGCCGAACATTTTTTCATGGATTTATTGTCCTCCCCAAACCTTTTGAGTTTCATGGTGGGTCTGTCTGTAGGTAGACATTGTCACACTTCCTCCGCCCTCCAGGTTGTGCCTCTACGATGTGGCCGAGTCCAGAGTGAAGCTGACAGCCCAGCACGGATCCGATGAGCACGAGCTTCTGGTCTGCACCAAGCTGGTGGAGCCATTCCAAGCCCAGGAGGGCTCCCTGTACGTCGTGCTGGGGGAGCTGGAGCCCCAGGAGGGTAAGCCGTGGCCTCACATATGCTTTTCCACGCTGGGTCCCACACTGGGACAGCCTTTTGGGTGACTCAGTTAGGAACGGATCTGGCTTATGACCCAGCGGGGAGTGTCTCACAGGGGTTAACATTTCTTCTAAATCAGCCCATCCATTCAAGGAATCTTGGCAAACAGACATGATTCCACTCATAGCGGACCTGCTGTGTGGTGCCAAGTCAACGAGTTGGGACAGTGGGCGAGAAAGAGGAGAGAGAAACCGCGCATTGCTCAAGGCCTACAATGCGCCAGGCCTGGCGTGGGGGGCGGTTTGCTCGGATCCTTTTGAATTGGCTCATCACCCTTTTCGTGTGAGTCGTCTTATTGCTGTTTCATAGATGAGAAAACCAAGGCTTGGAGAAGACAGGGCCGCAGCGCCAGGGTAAGAGAAACAGAACGCAGGGGAAGGCGTACGTACAGCAGCCTGGGGGGATCTCTCTGGCGTGCAGAGTTGAAGGCCTCCCCCCCACTCTGTCTCTGGCCGTCCTGAAGGCTGGGCTGCCGGGCTGGGAGGTGCCACCGAGCCCCAGAGTCAGCGCCTTGCTCTGCTCCTGTGGGGCTTGTCACCCGCATCCCATTTGTGTGTGTCACTGCCTCCCCTCCTCTCTTCTTAAGCTTTCACTTCTCCCACCCCATTATCAGAGTACTACGTGCTCACCGTAGAGAATTTAAAGAGGGTAAAGAACCAGAAAAGGTCACCCATAGTCCTCCTCAGAGGCAGCCCGTGACTCATTCGGCACATTGCCTCCTAGTCCTTTCAACGCCAAACAGTCGGTATCACACTGTGTGTTTTATTTGGTTATTTTGGCATAACATTATGTTACAAGCATTTCCCCATGTCCTTTTAAATATTTTTGTAGATAGACTATTTAATGTGTAATATTTACACATAATATTTACTGTGTAATAATTTATAGGCTAGATGTGCCTCCTAATTTATTCAACCACTGAACACTTGTTTCCATTTTTGCTCTTATAAATATATTGTACATGTAGCCGGGCGCGGTGGCTCATGCCTGTAATCCTAGCACTCTGGGAGGCTGAGGCGGGCAGATTGCTCAAGGTCAGGAGTTCGAAACCAGCCTGAGCAAGAGCGAGACCCCGTCTCTACTATAAATATAAAGAAATTAATTGGCCAACTAATATATATATAAAATTAGCCGGGCATGGTGGCACATGCCTGTAGTCCCAGCTACTCAGGAGGCTGAGGCAGGAGGATTGCTTGAGCCCAGGAGTTTGAGGTTGCTGTGAGCTAGGCTGACGCCACGGCACTCACTCTAGCCTGGGCAACAAAGCGAGACTCTGTCTCAAAAAAAAAAAAATATATATATATATATATATATATATTGTACATGTATTGGTATATTCAGTCCAACAGAGTATTATGAAGCCATTAAAAATGGTGTTATAAATCTGTATCTATTGACATAAAAAATATTTACAAGCCAGGCACTGTGGCACACACCTGTAGTCCCAGTTACTTGGAAGCCTGAGGCAGGAGGATGGCTTGAGCCCAGGAGTTCGAAGCCAGCTTGGACAACATAGTAAAACCCTATCTCTAAAAAATAAAATAAAATTTAAAAAAAGAATAAAAACTATTTACAATATATTACTAATAAAAAGCAATTTATAAAACAATATTTGTTATATAATCCCATTTTTCTTTCTTTCTTTCTTTGTTTTTTTTTTTAGAGACAGGGTCTCACTCTGTCACCCAGACTAGAGTGCAGTATCACAGTCACAACTCACTACCACCCTGAACTCCTGGGCTCAAGTGGTCTTCCCACCTCAGCCTCCCAAAGTGCTTAAATTACAGGCATCAGCCACCACACCCTGCCCCATTTTTCTTTAACATTTATTTTTATATGTACATAAAAGTTTGAAAGATTATTTACCAGAATGTTAATAGTGGTTACTTCTGGGTGGTAGAATCATGGGGTTCTTTATACTTTTCTTACCATTTTACAATGAAAAAACATTGCTTTCATAGCCAGAGAAGGAAAATAGTAAAAAAAAAAAAAAAAAAAAAAAAAAATTACTGCTTCAGTTACAGCCTCACACACTAATCTTTGTCTATTCTCTGATGATTTCTTCTTCAGTGTAGTTTCCTAAAGTAGAATTGCTAGATTAAAGGCTAAAACACTTATGTTTCTTGATTTATACTATCAAGTTATTTTCTAAAAGTCACAGTATTTTGTTTTGTTTTGTTTTTTCTTTTTTTTTTTTTAAGACAGAGTCTCACTTTGTTGCCCAGGCTAGAGTGAGTGCCGTGGCGTCAGCCTAGCTCACAGCAACCTCAAACTCCTGGGCTCAAGCGATCCTCCTGCCTCAGCCTCCCCAGTAACTGGGACTACAGGCATGCACCACCATGCCCAGCTAATTTTTTTTTTTACATATATATTAGCTGGCCAATTAATTTCTTGCTATTTATAGTAGAGACGGGGGTCTCGCTCTTGCTCAGGCTGGTTTCGAACTCCTGACCTCGAGCAATCCGCCCGCCTCGGCCTCCCAGAGTGCTAGGATTACAGGTGTGAGCCACCGCGCCTGGCCCACAGTGTTTTTAACTCTGGACGAAATGCACCAGGAAAAAAAAAGTAATTAAATGGTGCTTACTTTAATTATATTCGATTTAATAAAAGTTAATCTTTATTCAGCCTTAAGCCCTTGAGCTCCCAGAGTCCCTGCCCTCGTGATTGATTTGGGAGAGGCATGGAGGAGGGATGGCGTGGGAACAAAAGGCCTTTGCATAAATGAGTCCCACGCTCCCTGCAGCACCCGATCCCCGCAGCCTCTCTCCTGCACTGCCGCCCACAGCAAGTCCGGAACCCACTGTCCAGGGTGTGGATCTTTAAGTCCCAATCGCAGGTACAGGGAGAGGCTAATACCAAGATGAGACAGCAGAGCCTTGAGTGGACATTTGGAATTATTTCTGTGAAGAAAAATGGAAAACACTTTATAAATTCATCCCATATCATTAAAAATTTAGTATTCGGTCACAAGCATACACAAAAGTGGAATGGTATTAATAGAATGAACCTCCATTTGCCCATCACTCGGATTCAGCAGTGATCCACATTTGACTAATTTGCTCACACCTCGTTATTTATTTTGCTGGTGGACTTTAAAGCAAATCTAAGACATTGTTTCACTTTACCCATAAATACCTCTGTGTGTATTTCTAGCATCACCTCAGTGCCATTACCCAGTGCTCATCTCCAACGCCCAACAAAATTAATAGCTGTTCCTTTATACAATCTACTGCCGTGTCCGTGTTCAGTCTTTCTCAGTTGCCTCAAAAAAAAAAAAAAAAAATGGCGTTTTATAATGTTTAGTTTGAATTAGGATCCAAAGTCTTCACGTTGCATTTGGATCACATACCTCCAGTCTCTCTTAATTTGTAGCAGTTCTGCCTGCCTTCATTTTGTTTTCATGCCATTTATTTGTCAGAGAAGTTGGGTCATTTGTGCTAGAGAATGTCCTGGAATATGGAATTACTGTTCATGTCCTCCTGGTTGCACCACCCCTGCCCCCCTTCACCTCTAGTTTGTCCTGCCTTTTTGATATGGGCTATATTTCAGGGAAACCAAATGGGTGTTGAGGGAAAATTCTTTAGAGAGGAATCACAGTGAATAAATACAGGAGAGATGTTTAAATTTGAAAGTTACCACTTTATAAGCCCTGAGGAGGCTGGGCGCAGTAGCTCACGCCTGTAATCCCAGCACTCTGGGAGGCCAAGGCAGGTGGATAGTTTGCAGTCATGAGTTCGAGACCAGCCTGAGCAAGAGTGAGACCCTGTGTCTACTGAAAATAGACAAAATTAGCCAGGCATAGTGGCATGTACCTGTAGTCCCAGCTACTAAGGAGGCTGAGGCAGGAGGATAGCTTGACCCCAGGAATTTGAGGTTGCCTTGAGCTATGATCACGCCACCACACTCTAGCCTGTGGGACAGAGCAAGACTCTCTAAAAAAAAAAAAAGCCCCAAGGAAATAACAAACCCAAGCAACGGTCATCGCTGGCTGCTAAAGTCGTTAGGTGGAATATTGATGGGAGGGTTGTATTGGAGGGCGCAGCCAGCAGCTCCAGGGCCTGCACAATCAATGACAACATCACAGCGGTTGGAAGAACAAACACCATGTGCTTCCAATGTAACCCATGGAGAAGACACAAACAGCACCACCTCTGGAGTATTCTTGCCAAAAAAAAAAAAAAAATATGGAACCTGCACCTAATCAAACCTCAGATGCCGCAGCCTTTCACGGGCACTGATTAGTTTACTTCTTCTCGTTCTTTGTATCCCAGCCTGTTTTTTGTTTTCTGTTTTTCCTTAAAATATTTTTTTTTCCTTGATTTTCTAAGTAATGTGTGCTCCTGGTTCGCAGCTGGCGCAGGAGGCGAGGACGGGCGTGTGCGGGTGGAGGAGCATGGCGCTCGCCGGCCGCACTGACCCCTGGCCGGGGCGGGGGCACCACGTGGCTGCTTTAAACCGCCCTGAGCCAGGCCCAAAGTCCTGTATGGACACAAAGGTCGATCAGACGTGGACCCTGCCCTGTGACCAGGCTGACGGTCCTGATCGGGGACAGGAGAGAGAAAGGCCGCCTAAAGTCACCTTTCTGAAATTTCTGCATGTAAGATGACCAGAAAGGTAAAGAAATACCAGCCACATGATGAAATTTCTGGGATGCGTCAGCAATTCTCCTGGCACCATCCAAGGGCCAGAGGGCGTCCTGTCCACTGTCTGGGGACTAAAGTTTTGGACACATCCCTTCCCCAGCCCTGCCCCAGAGGCTCTCATGTCACACCTGGTCTGAAGGTTACTGGACCACAGCAGGTGGCTGCCCTCGAGCTCTCGCCGTGAGTCTCACCGCCTTCCGGTTTTCTCCCACCTGCCCTTGTTCCCTGCCCTCAGAAACCTGTCTGTGTGGCCTGTAACTCTCCTGAATCCCGGCATGGCCCCCGGCCAGCGGTTCCTCCCGTGAGGAGCCCACTCAGGTTCCGAAGCCACACACCCCACTGAGCCCAGAGGCAGGGCCAGGATCCTGCTGGCACCTCAGGTTTGTCGTTGCAGTCATCTCCCCGTATTTCCTCATCTCCTGCAGCCTGTTTCGCCACCGGCACCTCTGCCCCACTCCTGCCTCCCACACCCGCCGCCACGCCTCGGACACGGCTCCCCGGAATCGCCTCGCCTCCGCGGCCCCAACCGCACCGTCTGCTGTCACTCTTTCTGCCGCTGCCTCTCCTCCTGCGCCCTTCACCCCGCCAGGACCGGCGGACCTGGGACTCCTGGGCTTTGCCCCCTCTTTCTCTCCCTGGCCTCGCTGGGCCTCACTGCCATTTCATCTGCATCTCCCCAGAAGTTTCCCCCTGCCTCCCATCGCTCCTGCCCGGTGAAGCTGCGGCCTCCGCCTCTCGGGTCCTGCCGACTGTTGTGTGCAGAAAGACCACAACGCTCCGTGGAGTCGGGACATGTTGATTTTAGGCTCTCACTGTGCCCCCCCCCCACCTAGAAATACTTCTATATGTCCTCGTCAACCCCCTCCCAGGCTTGACCACAGGCCCAAAGGTTTAGGCACTCACCTGCCACGTAAGACCCCCACTTCCTCTCCTCCCTGTCCCTCTCAGCAATTTGCCTTCCCTCTTACATCCCAGCTAACCCTGAGGCCACAGGCGGCGGCCCCTCCTCCTGCAGTCAGACTCCTCCACGGTCTGAGAGGGAGAGGGGTCCCTTGGTTACCGCTGGTTCTTCCCTCCAGCAGGAAGGCGCTCAAGCCTCTGCTGTACTGAAATTATAATGCCAGTAATGAGTCATCTGTGCTGTGTCCACTGACTGGCATCACCTTCCTTCCCTTCCCAGGCTTCCTCAAAGAAGGTCCGTCCCCATATCGCCCCTTCCTCATCCTGCTCCCGCCTCACCCTGGCGGTGCATGCCGACTCCGCTTTGTAACCAGCTGCAGGCCCTTTATCTTTGCAAGAAGAAACTCCCCGAAACGACCCTCTCTCTAGCTGTCTCAGCCATGGACTCCATTTCCCCTTCCCCAAAGCCCTTCCAGCGCTTCATTCCTTTTGCAGATGGACTCACAGCTTTGCCCAATGTGTCCCTTGAGGTCATCGTATTTCTAAAGCTCACTTCCACATTTGATAACTTTTTTCCATTCCCAGGGAGAAGCAGCATATTCCACAATATAAATCTAGAGAGGAGGGTTTCCCCAGGCTGCAGGGGGCGAGAGCTGATAGGAATACTATCAGGAAAGTTCTGTGACATTCAGTCAGATACCTAAGAACATCTTCATACAGGAAGTTTGGAAACATTTGACATAGGACCCTATTTTGAGATTTTAACAGCTCCCTCGGCAAATTAGAGCTCTCTCATCTCGTCCTTGTTCTCCTGTGTTGTCCTGAACACCTGCAGCTGCTCTGTGACATCTATTTAGGGCTGCGTGTGTCAGTGACAGGTGAAGATTGGGCAAATGATGCCCCATGCGATGAGAGTCATCGATCTACACCAATCAGTAGGTCCAGGTGTTGTCACCAGCCCTCTCCTCTCTAAGCCATGCAGTTTCTGCAGGCTAGCACTGGGGCTGACGGAAGCTGATGACACATATGCCACCTCATGTTTCAAACAAGTTCGTCTTCCAGGGCCAGCCTGTGTAGCCTGCTGGAATCTAGGCAGTTTGACACTCTGAATTCTGCCCCCTAGGCTGTGTTAAAATGAAAACTGGCCTAGACTAGAAGGAAGGGTGGGCATAGACTACATCTAATAACCAGAGAGCCTCTGTCTCAAACTGCATGAAGAGAAGACAGCATAACATTCTAGAACATTGGGTTTTTTGTTTTTGTTTTGTTATTTAGAAAACCAAGCTGTTTATTTTTTTCTTTTACTTAGTTTGAATTCTGGAATGTTTTATATCTTTTTTATTTAGAAAACCAAGCAGTTTATTTTTTTTCTTTCACTTAGTTTGAATTCTTGAATGTGTTATATATATATATTTTTTTTTAGAAAACCAAGCTGTTTGTTTTTTTTTCTTCTAGAACATTGAATGTATTTATCAAAGTGCCCAGAGAGCAGAGAACATGAGTGAATTTTTTTTTTAATTTTTTAAAAATTTTTAAAAAAATCATCTGTTAGGGCAAACCCTAGATGTCCTGTTTGATGCCACCTGAACATTGACAAACCTTTCCATTATGTATCATGTCACCACCATGTCTCCTAGAAGCCCTCTGAGCCCCCGTCCAGGGTGGGGTGACTTGCCTCACCTGGAGCTCAGTCCCTCAGATGTACTAAACATGAGTGCCTCTTTGCCCCCATTTCCAGTGACAGTGGGTCCCAAGATGCCAAGGGGGCCCTTCCCTCAGTACAGCTGGAGAGCCAGGATGGTGGTTGAGAGCCTGCTCAGCCCTGGGCACTTGGGACCTAGTAAGAAGGTAGCCAGAATTAGGGTGGCCAAGGAGGGAAGTAGAGGGTACATCTTCCTGGCCCTCCCTCCTTGGAGAAGTGGAATTTTCAGGCTATCTGGTAATTTCCACATGTGTGCCTGCAGTGTGTCAGCCCCACGGTAGACAAATTGCCACCATCCCATATGCCATCCTTCCTGCCCCCACCTCTTGTTGTCAAAACTCAGGACTGAGGCCTGTAATCCTAGCACTCTGGGAGGCCAGTGTGGGAGGATCGCTTGAGGTCAGGAGTTTGAGACCAACTTGGGCAAGAGCGAGACCCTGTCTCTACCAAAAATAGAAAAATTAGCCAGGTGTTCTGGCGCCTGCCTGTAGCCCTGGCTACTCGGGAGACTGAACCAGGAGGATTACTTGAGCCCAGGAGTTTGAGGTTGCAGTGAGCTATGATGATGCCACTGCACTCCAGCCTGGGTGACAGAGGGAGACCCTGTCTCAAAAAACAAAACAAAGAAACACCTCAGCACTGAGCAAGTTGAGGGAAACAGCTAGAATGCACCTGTGCAGTGCGTTGCTTACCCTGGGGTCGTGGTGTTTGTGTCTTTCAGATGGAGGCCCCGTGGTGAAGGCCCGAGTCCTGACCTGTGTGGAAGGGATGAACCTGCCCCTGTTAGAGCAAGCCATCCAGGAGCAGAGGCGGTACCAGCAAGAGAGGAGCACTGGCCCACAGGAAACGGCAGCCACCGATGACACCCCCGACGACTGCTCCTGAGGCCAAACCCACTGGAGCCATGGGAGCTGCACAGAGGTGTAGGCGCTTCCTGAGTGGCAGCCTTTGTCTGGAGCCAGAGTAGAGGGCCGGGTGGATAATCCAGCCCCTTCCCCTAGTTTGGAATTGGCCCAGAAATGAGAGCCCAGAAAGGCCTCTGAACCTGACGCCCCCACCCCCAGGAGACTGCAGGTGGCTGAGCTCCAGGCACTGGGGCTGTGCCTCGTGTGGGGTCATGGAGAGTTCCAGAAGGTCGTCGTGAATAAAGGCCCAGTGGGCGTGACCTTGCGTTGTGTGCACGTGGTGCAGCGCCGGCTGGGGCCAGGAGGGGGAGCCGTGGAGCAGACAGCCCGGCCGTGAGGCTGCAGCCGGATCAGGGCTTCTGGTGAATTCCGGGCTGGGGCCTGAGGGGAGGGTTCCCAGAGCGGCTGGGGGGCCCAGGATGCAGGGGGGGCGCCCCCGCCAAGGTGCTGCCCTCAGAGGCGGCCGAGCATCGCCAGACAGGCCGGGCCTAGGCCCCGGGCTCCGACCATGCGGCCTAGGGCAGGACTCTGGGTTCAGGCCCTTCCCAGCCCCTCATCTGGGCCCTGGGCCCCTGGGTGGCCCTTCCAGGCACACTTGTGCCCCCAGAGCCTCGCCCGGCTGGGCCAAGGCGGGAGCTCAGGCAGGAGAAGTCTGGGCCCTCCTACGCGCGGTAGCTGGTCACAGGGGCAGCTGGCTGCTGCCCAGGCACTGAGCAAGAAGCCAGGGGGTCCGGACTGGGCTGGGCAAGGGGCAGCCTCAGGGGGGCCTGGCACAAGCCCGGGGAGCTGGGCATCCTGGCAGGGGCTGGGCAGGGTGGCATGTGGGGGCAGTAGGGGGTGGGGGTGGCGCTGGGTGTGGGGCACAAATAGCCGGCACCATCTGTTTCCCAGGCAGCTCTGCCGACATGGATGTGTTCCAGAAGGTCGAGAAGATCGGAGAGGGCACCTATGGGGTGGTGTATAAGGCCAAGAACAAGGAGACAGGGCAGCTGGTGGCCCTCAAGAAGATCAGGCTGGATTTGTGAGTGTGGGGTCAGCCCGAGACACCCCGCCCTGAGCGCCCACAGCCTGGGAGTTCCCCCTCCATTCACTCCTCGTCTCGGGGTTCACACTCAACTTCTTTCCTTTTTCGGCTGCTGCCCAGGTATACTGGGGCGGCCACAAAGGTGCAGCCCCCGCCTGTCCTCACTCCGGCTCACCTTTGACCTGGGCCCTGCTCTGTGGAGCTTGGAGGGTGAAAAGTATGGTCCCAGGAGCACAGGTCCCCATCGCCAGGGACAGGCCACCTGCGCGGATATTAATCCCCCTGGCCGGAAGTGCCCTTCTTGGCTCCTGCCACCACACCACGGCTGGACCCTTGTTTCCTGCAGGGAGACTGAGGGTGTCCCAAGCACTGCCATCAGGGAGATCTCCCTGCTCAAGGAGCTGAAGCACCCCAACATCGTCAGGTGAGTTGGGGAAGGAGGCAGGGACGCTGGGACGGTGAAGGCCACGTCCTGACCGCCACCTCCCCGCCAGGCTGCTGGATGTGGTGCACAGTGAGAAGAAGCTTTACCTGGTGTTTGAGTTCCTGAGCCAGGACCTAAAGAAGTACATGGACTCCACCCCAGCCTCCGAGCTCCCCCTGCACTTAGTCAAGGTACAGAGGGGAGGCCGGGGAAGGAGAGGGGACTCCCCAGGCAGCCAGGCCCTGCTCAGCCAGATCCCCCTCATGTTCATCACTGCAGAGCTACCTCTTCCAGCTGCTGCAGGGGGTGAACTTCTGCCACTCTCATCGGGTCATCCACAGAGACCTGAAGCCCCAGAACCTGCTCATCAATGAGCTGGGTGCCATCAAGCTGGCTGACTTTGGCCTGGCTCGGGCCTTTGGGGTGCCCCTGCGCACCTACACCCACGAGGTATTGCGGGACAGAGAGGAGAGGAGGGCAGCTGAAGGAGTGTCACCTTTGCACTCAGCCACCCTGAATGATGCTGTTTTCTTGCCCCACAGGTGGTGACGCTGTGGTATCGTGCCCCTGAGATCCTCTTGGGCAGCAAGTTCTACTCGACGGCCGTGGATGTCTGGAGCATCGGTTGCATCTTTGCAGAGATGGTAGAGAGGGAGACGTGTGGCCACAAGAGGCCACAGGCAGGGTCCCATGGGGGATGTAGGGGCTTCACTGATGCTTCTATTAGAGGTGGATTAAGGGGTGTATGGGACTGGCTAAAGGACTCAGGAAGCCAGCCTTATTCCAGAAAAGGCTAGAATTCTTTGCACAGCCCTGGGAAAGATATTTTCACAGTCCCTCCCTGGCTCTGGTCACTTATGTGGTGTTGGATCCTGTATGATAGAGGGGGTGGACCCCATACTTTCTCTTCTTCCCCCTTCAAGGTGACCCGCAAAGCCCTGTTTCCTGGTGACTCCGAGATTGACCAGCTCTTTCGTATCTTTCGCACCCTGGGGACACCCAGTGAGGCCACGTGGCCTGGAGTCACCCAGCTGCCTGACTATAAGGGCACCTTCCCCAAGTGGCCCAGCAAGGGGCTGGAGGAGATTGTGCCCAGTCTGGAGCCAGAGGGCAAGGACCTGCTCGTGGTAGGTACAGGTGGGCAAGAAAAGCCTCCTAGTTTTAGCTGCTGTTCCAACTAGAGTGTCCCTTTCGTCAGCCAGCCACTTGTATAACCCTGGCTCTTTCTGAGCCCAAGCTGGTCTCTTTCCTGGCCCTTGTAAACGATTGGTCTGTCGTTGGGTGTATTGATTGTTCGACTTGGAGGCCTTCCCAAAGATAAATCCAATGTTCATCTTCCCTTTTAAGCCTTCTCTCAGCTGGCGGCTGTGTCTTCATGCTGTGACACTTGCCCTTTCCCCCCGTTGCTTGTGTCTGGTTATCCCCTTGTGGGCACTTCATCTCAGCTGCACGCGTCCCCCGGCAGGGCCACACCTCCCACTGCCTTGGTGTCCCCAGGGCCTCCCACGTCTTCACGTGAGGCTGTTCAGGACGGGCCATTCCCCACCACCTGGGGGAGCGTACTGGCCCCTGCCACGTCCTCACTCACCCCTCCTGTGGCACCATCTTGACCCCTTGGGCTGGCCCAGGCCGACTGCCCAGAGGATCTGGGGCAGAGCAGTTGTTCGGGCCCACACAGTCTCCAAGGCACGTTCCTCCCCTTAATCTAGTGTTGGGTGGGAGGAAGCTCAGCGTGTTCATCTTCAGGCATCCAGCCTTTCAGAAGTCCAAGTGTTGGCCAGGCGAGGTGGCTCACGCCTGTAATCCTAGCACTCTGGGAGGCTGAGGCAGGCAGATTGCTCCAGGTCAGGAGTTCGAAACCAGCCTGACCAAGAGCGAGACCCCGTCTATACTATAAATAGAAAAATTAATTGGCCAACTAATATATATAGAAAAAATTAGCCGGGCATGGTGCCGCATGCCTGTAGTCCCAGCTACTCGGGAGGCTGAGGCAGAAGGATTGCTTGAGCCCAGGAGTTTGAGGTTGCTGTGAGCTAGGCTGACGCCACGGCACTCACTCTAGCCTGGGCAACAAAGTGAGACTCTGTCTCAAAAAAAAAAAAAAAAGTCCAAGTGTTGTCTGCCAACCCGATGGCAGCAGGCAGTGTGGACTTCCTGCCAAGGCTCTTGTCGTCCCGCCAGGCTGCTCCACGGTGGGGGGTCCTTCCACATGCTGCGGGTTCAGGGGCTCTAGGGCAGAGCTGGGCGAGCCTGGGCACTTGCAGTGGTGGCGCCGCCTCCTCTCCCCTGCTCGCCGGATTCCCGCCCCGCTGCAGGTGTGCACGAGGGATGTTGTGCTCTTCTCAGCCAGAAGCAGGGACCAGAGCCCTCCCCACGGAAGGGGGACTGACTCAGCCGCAGTCGCCTGAGGAGACCTGGGTGATTCAGGGCCGGACTAGATACTCTTTGTCCTCAGCTTCTAGGAGTGTTCAGGACTGGCTTGAGAGCTGGGAGGCGGTGACTGAGTGCAGTTTGGGTTTGAGGACAGCCACTTTGGCACTTGGGGCCCTCCCCTGGGACCTGAGGGTGGGGTGTTCCTGTCCCCACCCTGGCCGCACTCAGCCCAGGCTCTTTCCTCCTCCTTCCTCCCAGCAACTCCTGCAGTACGACCCCAGCCGGCGGATCTCAGCCAAGGCCGCCCTGGCCCACCCGTACTTCTCGTCCCCGGAGTCCTCCCCGGCCGCCCGCCAGTGTGTGCTGGAGCGTTTTTGCCGTTGAGAACGTCAAGGCCCACTCCTTGGGTCCTCCTGGGCAGCTGCTGCCCCAGCTGACTCCCCTCCCATTCCCGAGGGGAGAACAAATCTGGGAGGGAGCGAAGCTCTAAGGCATTTGGCATCAGCCAGCGGAGGGCCGAGCGTGGGTTCGTTCTGCCTGCAGGTTACAGAGTTTTGTTGTTTGTTGGGTTTGATGGTGCCGGTCCAGAATAGGGGCCCAGATGCTCCACACATGAGGGGGTACGTTAGAGACCGGTCCCCTGGCACTAGAACGATAGGTGCCGTGTGGATAGCAGGGGCCTGCCTGGCTGCTGGCTGCAGCTGCAGAGCCAGACCCCGAGGAAGGGGCGCCCCCTGCTGGCCATTTTGGATTTAAAATGTTTGGGGGAAGAGTTGGGTCCCAGATTAAACAGGAGGGAGAGAGAGGGCGTTCTTCTGACCCCAGGAGAGGTCAGGGCATGTGTGACTGTTCTAAGGAGTTGTCATTTCACCTAAGATATGCTTATGTTGCTTTGCTTCTGGCTTGACAAACAGAAAATAAACGGGATACGTCTCTGAGTTTTCTGGCAGTGTTCTGCTCATGGGGGACACCTGGGCTTATCAACAAGGGGGACATTGACAGAGGGCCGGAGACAGACCTGGCCTGAGGCAGTGGGGAAACTGAGAGGGCAGGGAGGGGAGCCCGGGTGTTCCCTGATCTCTTTCTGGGACCCGCCACCGCATCCCTGCCCAGATCCCTGGGAACCACAGCCCTCCGGGAACACTGTTTCCCAGGCAGGCACGTGGGCACGTCCATTCCCCACCTGCGGATGGGCCCAGGCAGTGCTACCCTGAGCTCACACCCCGGACGGATGACGGATGGATCCTACATCCCTAACGGTGAAGGAGACTCGGCCCAGGGAGAATCCGTTTATTGGGATCACTGGGTGGGGGAGGGGGAGGACAACCCGAGCTGCTGCTCTCCTGGTCTGGGGGTGGGTCAGGCACCAAGGCTGGGGGAGGCCAACACCACAGATGAGTAATAAAATAACAAAACGGCAGTTGGGCAGAGGGGAGACCCACTGCTTGGGATTAGGCTGCTCTGGGGGTGAGGGGTCTGTGCACCCCACCCCCAGCACACACACTGCCCCGGCCAGCGCCAGCGTCAGCGAAGGGAGCGTGGGACGGTGGGGGAGGCCGCGCGGTAGCAGCAGCGGTACCCCTCCAGCGCCGCGGGGAGGAGCAGCAGGCCGCTCACCGGGTCTTTCCTGCAGCGGCCCATGGCCTCCTTGTAGCTCAGCCGTTCCTTGGAGATGGGGTCTGTCAGATCCTTCTCGTAGCTGGACTCGTCCTGCAGGAGCCGGGCCAGCTCCTCGCTGATCATTCCGGAGAGCAGAGCCTGCGGGACAGGGATGCGGCCGGTCCTCTTGGGGTCGATGAGCCCCCCGGTGAGGTGCTGCGCCTGCAGGTGCGGGAGCGCGCTCTCCGCGGGCATCCAGCCCTTCTGGATGGCCTCGCCCACCGACAGCCTCTTCTTGGTGACGGGGTCCTCGATGCCGGTGAAGGCCTTCTGGGCGTTGAGCAGCCGCTGCGTGGAGACGTTGTCGATCAGGCCCCGCTCCACGGCCTTGTGCACGGAGTAGCGCTCGCGGCTCAGGAGGTCCACGATGCCCCCTGTGGCCGCCTGGGCCTCCAGCAGCTTCTGCCCGGTGATGGGGTCCAGCATGTTCTTGGCCACGGCCGTCTTGATGCTGCACTTGTTGTCTGTGGTTGTGTCATAGACCCCGGCGATGGGGAAGCTGTCATCGCCCAGCCCCAGAGTGAAGCTGGGAGAGAAGAAACCGGTGCTCTGCGGGGCTGGGGAGGTGAGCGGGGACTTGGAGATGATGGAGCCGATGGAGAGCGAGGAGCAGGGCTTGGTCTCCCCGGCCACAAGCAGGGCGAACTCGGAGATGGGCAGGTGGCCGTCCTTGTACAGGTGGTACTCCTCCTTGGAGATGCGCCGGCAGCGGAGGGCGGCCTCGATGGAGTACTGCTTCCCACTCTTGCGGTCCAGCAGCACAGACTCCTCCCCACAGGGGCCCGAGGTGGTGACCTCCTCCCAGTCGCACTCGAGCTCCTGCAGCTGCAGGTACTGGCCTCGGTCGATGATGCCCCTCTTATAGGCCTCATACGGGGACATGTCCTTCCCCGTGTCAGGTTCCAGGATGCAGATCTTGGTGGAGAGGTTGGTCTCCCGCGTCTGAGTCTCCTGGCTGAGCTCCTCCCGGCTCACCTTGGCGTGGAGGTCCCGGAGCGTTCGCTCCTTCTCGTAAATCTGGTCCTTCTCGTGGAGGATGGCTGCCTCGAGCCGCGAGAGCGCCTGGCCCCGCTGGGTGGCCTTCTGCCGCTCGCTCTCCGTCTTCTGGCTGAGCAGCTTCGACTCCTCCTGCAGCTGCAGTGCCTGCTGCTGCTTCTGCCTCTCCAGCACCCGCAGCTCCTGCTGCAGCCGCCCGCGCTCCTGGCCCGCCTGGTCCCGGGCCTTCTGCAGCTCGGCCTCCTCCCGGGACCAGGTCCTCCCCAGCGCCTCGGCCCTGTGGATCCGCTCCCGCAGGCGCCCCGCCGCCTCCTCCTGGGCCTGCCGGGCCGCGCGCTCCCTGGAGAGCAGCTCCCACACGCGGGCCCGCTCGTCCTCCAGCGCCCGGTCCTTCTGCACCCGGATCACCTCCTTGTAGATGGTCTTCTCCTGCGATTTGGTCTTCTGCAGGACGTCGAGCTGCACCTGCAGGTGCTTGCTCTCCCGGTGCAGCTCCGCCACCCGGGTCTTCTCCTGGTCCAGGTCCCGCCGCAGGGCCTCCGTGGACCTCTCCAGCTCCGGGTCCTTCTCCAGCTTGACCACTTCCTCCATGATGATCTTCTCCTGCACCGCGGGAGGCCGCTTCTCCAGCTCCTGGATCCTCAAGGTCAGCTGCCGCAGCTCCCTCTCCAGAGCCAGCTTCTTGCCGCGGTCCTCGCCGAAGCTGAGCAGCGCCTCCTTCTCCTCCACGCCGGCCCGCAGCTGCTGCACCTCCAGCTCCAGCTGCCGCCGCCGCCCCACCTCCTCGTCCAGGCTCCGGCTCAGCCGGCTGTGCTCCTCGCGCAGCTTCGGGTCCTTCTGGGTGACCACGACCTCCTGCACCACCACCTTCTCCTCGGGCTTCCGCCTCTCCAGCAGCAGGTACTTGCTCTGCAGCTCATAGACGGCGTCCTCGGCGGCCCGCCTCTTCTGGGCCGCCTCCCGCACCTCCTGGCGGAGCCGCTCCGCCTCCTTCTCCAGGACCGGGTCCTTCTCGTGGCGCACCACCTCCTTCTTCACCGTCTTGGTCTCCACCTTGGCCCGCTCCCGCTTCCACTCGTCGCGCTCGCCCTGCAGCCGGATGAGCTGCTCCTGCGAGCGCCCGTGCGCGTTGACCAGCTCGTTGAGCTGGGCCTTCAGGCGGTCGATCTCGCGCAGCACCTCCGGGCTCCTCTCGTGCTTCACCACCTCCTGCGTCACCTCCTTGTACTCCACCGCGGGCTTCTGCGCCCGCAGGGCTTCCAGGTCGGGCAGCAGCCTCTCCACCTCCTTCTCCACGCTGCTCCTCCTGCCGGCCGCCTCCTGCAGCTGGGCCCGCAGCCGCACGATCTCGCGCTCGGTCTCCGGGTCCACCTGGAAGATCTCGTGGACGCGCTCCTGGAGCTGCACTTTGGGCCTCTGCTTCTGCACCGCGCTGTATTTGCTGTGCAGCTCCGTGAGCTCCCTGGCCAGCGCCGCGCTCCGCTTCCTCTCCTCCTCCAGGAGGCTCCTGAGCCTGGAGGACTCTTGGAGAAGGCCCGGGTCCTGCTCCACCTTCTTCACCTCCTTCACAATGACCTTGGGCTCCACCGAGCTGATGGCCCGCTCTAGGTCTTCGATGCGCACCTGCAGCTTGGCCACAGCCTCCTCTGCCCCCTTCCTCCTTGCAGCACCCTCCTCTATCTGCAGCCTCAGAGCCCGGGCTGCCTTGACCATTTCCAGATCCTTCTCCACCTTGACCACCTCTTTCACCACAACCTTCTCCTTCACGTCCACCTCCCTCTGCTCAAGGGCCAGCAGCTCCTTCTTCAGCTCTTCCAGGCGGGCCACGATGACAGCGTCCTCCCCCTGGACCTGCAGGATTCTGTTGCTGAGCTGGGCTGCCTGGCTGTCCAGGCTGGGGTCCCTCTCGATTTGGGTGACCTCCTTGGTCAGCAGATGAGGCTGCATGGTCTTCCTCTTGCTCTCCAGCTGGACGACCTTCTGGGCGGCCGCTTCCAGGTCTGCCTGCAGCCCGGCCCGCCGCTTGCCCTCCTGCTCCAGCTGGGCCTTCACCTTGGACAGGCTGCTCTCCAGCTGGGGGTCCCGGTAGAACTCCACCACCTCCTTCTCCTCCAGCCTCTCCAGGGGCCGCTGGGTCCTCAGCTGCAGCAGCTGGCCTCTCTGCTCCTCCAGCTCGCGCTGCACCTGGGCCACCCGCTTCCTCTCCTCCTCCAGCTGGGACTTCAGGGCCTCTGACTCCCTCCCTGCCCGGGCTGGGCTCTCAGACCCCTGCTTTGCATCGTGGGTCACCTGGATGTCCTCACTGAGTTCCTTCTGCAGAGTGAGGGAAGGGGGAGAGAAGAAGGGGTGAGAGGAAGAAAGACATGAGCTCTGTTTTTCTATACCCCAACCCCAGGATCAGAGACCCCTCCCTGCCGGTAGGTCCCAGGAGGAGCTGAAGCCCTGAGGTGCTTGGATGCAGGACGTCGAGGAGACGCACTCCGTGCTGTGAAGTTAGGACACAAGGCAGTGTGCAGGCCAGGGGTGCGCTAGAAAGTGCAAATAGGACAGGTTCTCCCTGTCCCTTCCATCCAGGCTCCCAGGAATGGGCCCAGACTCCTCTGGGGGATGCTGGATGGAGGCTCACGGTGGTAGAAAAGCTGGCAGGCCACCAAGATCATGAAGAGCTTCCAGCTCCTGGTCCAGCAGGGACGGATACCCAGGTGACCTGCTGCCGTTGTGTCTGGGTCCAAGGCTAAAGACTCTGGGGGATTTCTCTGCCCTCTGGAGTTAGTGGTCCTGTCCCATCAGAAGACTGCCCAGTGGCTAAGCTGTGGCTGCACCGAATGACATCTCCAGGGCCTACCTCTGGGATGGATACCAGCCTATAAGAGCCACTGGGGAGGAAACTGCAGGAGGCAGGGAGCTGCACCCCTGTCGAGCTGCTGGGCCTGCCCAGGGGCTGCAGGCTGCAGGGAGAGGAGGCAGGGAAGACGTGTCAGGTTGACAGCACGGCCATCAGCCATCGGGGGAATGGAGTGCATATTCCTGGCCATTGTGGGAACAGAGTAGGTGTCATCTCTGTACCTTCTCCAGCATCTTTCTAGCAAACTCCAGCTGGTGTAGCTGTTGCTGGTGTGCCGCCACGACCTCAGTATAGGCCTTTGCAAGGTCCTTCTCCTGTACAGGGCAAAGGGAGGGGAAGGGAGGGCAGAGTCAGCTCCCGCCTCGGAGGCTGCAGAGCTGGTGCCAAGGTACGCTGAGCCCCGCCAGGTCCCGCCTCACCTGGGCCTGGATGCTCTCCTGCAGGGGAGCCACTCGGGGCTTCTTGGGGGCTGACACCGCCAGGCTGGGCTCCAAGGAGCAGCGGTAGGTGTCTGCCTGCAGCTCATAGTCCTGAGCAGGGAGGAGAGGACAACAGGATGATGTCATGGGGGCAGCTGGGCATGGGGGAGCAGGGGTGGGAGGGATAGGGTGCAGGATAAAGAGAGACACACTGAAGTGAATCCGCTTACTTGCAGAGCTGCCTGCAAGTCCTGGGAGAGGCGGGATGCCACAGCCCTGTCCCGATCTCGGCTCTGGATCTCTTGCGTCAGCCTCTGCCAGGGAAGAATCAAGAGTCAGGAGGTGGCTGGGTATGGTGGCTCACACCTGTAATCCTAGCAGTCTGGGAAGCCAAGGTGGGAGGATCGCTTGAACTCAGGAGTTTGAGACCAGCCTGAGCAAGAATGAGACCCCATCTCTACTAAAGATAGAAAAATCAGCCGGGCATGGTGGCGCATGCCTGTAGTCCCAGCTACTTGGGAGGCTGAGACAAGAGGATCACTTGAGCCCAGGAGTTTGAGGTTGCAGTGAGCTGTGATGATGCCACTGCACTCTAGCCCAGGTGACAGAGAAAGATTCTGTTTCAAAAAAAAAAGTCAGAGGCTCCTTCTAGACGCCAATCTGGGCCATGCCTTCCCAGGCCACAGGGGAGAGTCCAGCCTTCTTCCCAGGCCGGGCAGGGCCTGCGTGGTCTGGTCCTCTCTCCCGAGTCCCCCTGTGTCCCCTGACTGCCATGCCCTCTGCTTGGGACATTTCACCCTCTCCCCCAGCCACCCTGTCTATCCTCCAGTCTCAGCTTTCGTGGCAGATCCTTCTGCCCCACTTGCCTGGACCCCCATGGGTGTCCCGCAGGTGCTCCCCTGGGGCACTGGCTTCTCCACACAAGCGCTTACCAGCCTGGGGCAGGGGCCCCTGGTGCACTGACTGGTACATAGCAGGGCTTGACAGCGTGAGGAAGACGCAGCAGTGGTTGGAACCCCCATGCTCTGGGGCCTGAGCATGAATCCTACCACCCACCTCAGAGCAGACAAAGATGGGCTGGCCGTTTTCATGGGCAAAGTGGCACCTTTCAGGTGGAGGCCAGGGAAGGGGGTGACCTAAGACCTCTGTGGCCTCACTCTGTGGCCTCTTTTGAGCCTTGGCCGCTAGGGGGCGTCCCGTGCCCAAGCAGCTGTCCCTGGTGGGGTGGAAGCGGCCAGGGAGGAGGAACAGCGCGCCACGTCGCCCACAGCCCAGCCCCTCACCTTCTCTGCTTGCAGCTTGTAGGCAATCTGGCTGGGCCCGTCGCTGGGCCGCACCTGGTTGTGGGGCAGGTGCTCCAGCCAGGAGCTCAGGTTGTCCCTGCAGTTCTTGAACTGCTGGTAGGTGAGGCCCACATCTTGCAGCATCTTCTCCCTGTGGGAGGACGAGGCCCGGAACAGAGGTGACAGCTGCCCTCTGGGGCAGGCAAGGGGTGCACAGAGGCGGCTGGTGGGAGCCTCCTCCCCGGCACAGCTCAGGAGGCCTGGGTGACCTGCCGTGCAGAGCCCCTCCTCTCTGACCCTGGCTGGGGCCGGGCATTCTGAGATGGAAGGGACAGCCTCTGCCAGGCATCACCCTGGGAAGGAAGCACTGTTACCCATTTTAGGGTTGAGGCACCGGAGCCTCCAAGAGGTAAGGCCCCCTCTCCACGCTGACGCAGCGTGTGTGGCAGCAGTGCCCGGGCTCCACCCCGGCCCACACCGTGTGCCCGAGCGCCCCGCCGCTCACCGCAGGTCCAGCTGGTCCCCCACGGCGTGGTAGCGGTCGGTGAGGGCCCGCACCTGGCGCTGCTGGCGCGGCAGGTCTTGGCAGAACTCGTGGAAGTTGTTCTGCAGCGCGGCGCACGCGTGCTCGGCGGCCTTCAGCTCGCGGTGCAGCCCCAGCACGCAGGCCTGCTGCCCCAGCAGCTCCCTCCGCTGGTGCTGGGGACGGGGGACACAGCGCATGCACCCTCGTGCCGCCAGATGCCGGGTCCACCCCACCCACCCCCAAATGGCTCAGCCAGGCTGTGCCCCGTCCCGCCGGCCCCTCACCTGCAGCTGGCTGACCCTGTCCTGCAGCGCCCCGGGGGCGGCAGGGACGGGCGCCTCCTGCGCCAGGGTGGACTCGAAGCCTCCGATGACCCTGTCCGAGTCCCGGATCTGCCGCTCCAGCCCCAGGGCAGCCTTGGCTCTGCCGCGGAGGAGGGAGGGTCAGACACCCCCTCGGCCACACCCCGCTGCCCTGCCCGGGACCCCTAGCACTCACTTCTCCCCGTAGAGACTGCACAGAACCTGCACGTCGCTGTGCTTGTTCTTGACGCTGTTCAGGGCCACGGGCAGCTGCAGGGCGGCGGGGCCCACGGGCCGTGCCGACAGAAACGCCTCGCACTGCTGCTGGGCTGCCTCCTTCTCGGCGCCCAGGCCCTGCAGGCGCTGGGCCGTGCCCTGCAGAAGGGCTGGGGTCAGGCTCCCTGGGCAGTGGGTTCTGCCCAGCTCTCCCGCCAGGCCAACCTAACCGTGCCCACAGAGGCACGTGCTCGGGCGCAGGCCAGAGAACCGGGTACAGGCCTGGCCCCGCTAGTCCCTGTGTGGACGACCTAGGGCAGGTCAACCTCTCTGACCCTCAGTCTCCTCGTCTGCGGGGATGACTGATGGGAGGATGCCGCAGGGCCGCATGCCAGGCTCACCGCTGCCTCCTGTCTACCTCACCTTGTTGTCCTCTCACAGCGGCTTCACTGTCACCCCAGGCTCTGTCACGGGGTCATGGCCCTCATTCCCTCCGTCACACAGGTCACTGTGTAGTGCTGACCCTGCCGGGCACCGCCTCGGCCAGGCTAACCAAGCTTCCCCCGGCCCCCGACACCACTGACGCACCTGGTGCTGGGGCTCCAAACCCCAAGGACCTATGCGGTGTGACGCCTCCACTGTCAGTCGCTCTGGGGACCACCCTGCCCCACAGGCCAGCCAGTGACGTATCAACGTGGGGTACAGAGGCCCCCGCCCAGCTCCAGAGCTCCCCGAGGGCCGGCTGAGGCTTCGGCTGAGACTGCACTGCGGCAGGGCGCCCCCTCTGCGGCCTGCTTCTGCCCCCTTCCTTGCACAGTGTCTCCCAGGGGACCCCCTAAGAACGCCCGGCACGCTCTTCTTCATCTCAGAGTCGCCCCTGGGCCCTGCCTTGCTGCTGTCCCACTCTGGGAGCAACCCCCTGCCCCGCCCGGCCTCTGACCCAGCAGGCTGCCACCTCCGAATGTCCACAGCACATTGTGGAGAGAAAGTGACAAGTTGCACAAGAATGTGAACGACATGATTCAAATGTTTTAGAGCCAAACACAAAGGATATGATATATTTGAATAGAAACCGGTTTGGAAGGATAACCGGGACCGCTGCCCCCAGCAAGGGGAAGGGTGGCTTTCACGCTTTCACTTTCAGCTCTTTGGGGGGAGGGGGGTTGAGTTCACCCGGCAGAGAACTTGTTCTTTGGTAACGATATTCAGACAACCGTGCAACCTCCCCAGGAAGGATGCCCCCCAATCAAGCCAGGAAGAACCGCCCCCTAAAATACCCCAGGCTTCCTTGCTGCTCTCAGGACCTTGGGCAGAACACCTCCTGGGTGCACGGCCTTTACACTGGGTCATGCTAGAACCTTCCCCGGCGTTACTGCACTTCATCCCTGGGCAACCAGACGAGCTGGGCATTACCACGCCTGTCTCAGGGATGAGGCCCAAGATCACAGAGCCAGTCAGTGGAGGACGCAGGGTGAGAACCAGCCTGTCTGAGCCCAGGACTGTCCGTGCCCCTCCTCCACCTTCGATCCTGGCGGCTGCTCCCCGACTTGTGTCGCCTCCCTAGAGTGTGTGTGGGCCCTGCCTGCGGCTCACCCACCTTGTGGCTGTGGATGCGGCCCTCCAGGTCCTCCAGTGGGGAGGTGCGGCTCAGCGGGGTGCGGGCCCAGGCCAGCACCTGCCTCTCTATCTGCCTGAGGTCCCCGTCCAGCTGGGTCATCTGTGTCAGCAGCTTCTGGGCCTGTGGGTCGACCGAGGCCGAGCCGGCTGGTGCTGGGGGCAGAGGGTGCTGGTGAGGGCCCAGGGCCTGTCTCCTGTCTGCAGACGGGTGCTCCCTGGGAGCCCATAGAGGGTCCTTCAGGGGTGTGGCTGCAAGTGGGTGGGCAGGGCCTAACAGAGGGACAGCCCCTGAGCAGATGCCCCTAACCCAGTGTCACCCTGTACCCATCACAGCCCCCCAGCAGTGGCCAAAGTAGGAATCCACTCCCTCTAACCCAACAACCACCCCCTCTCGGGCCGGCCCTCGGTACCCTGCTGGCCAGGCCGTATGGCCTCCGTGGCACTGGCCTTCAGACGGCTCTGGACTATGGCCAGTTTCTGCTTCAGGGCCTGCAGCTCTGAGGCCAGCCTGGAACAGGAGGAGTTCAGATGAGGACGTCCCTCCTCTCTGTCCCTCCCCAGCCCCGGCAGACACGGCTCCTGGTAAAGTCCAGGCTTAAGTCAGGGGTCTGCCAGGCTGTGGCCTTGGGCAGCACAGGGCCTGGTCTGGCTCACAGCCTGCCTCCTCCTCTCTCGTGTCCCTAGGCAGGCCCACCTGGAGGCCCTGGCCACGGCTTCAGGGTCTGGGGCTGGGATGCAGAAGCAGGCGGCTGGGGCACTCTTGGTCTCCCCGCCAGGGCCCTGCACGGCCCAGGTGTGCGGGTCAGCGTTGTCCACCAGCGTGTACCGCTCCCCCCGCAGCAGCTGCACCTGGGGACACATGGGGGGCCGTGCAGGCTCAGGGCATGGGGCCAAGCCCAAAATGGGGTAGGGACTGGGGACAGGGACAGCAGTTGGAACAGGGGCTGAGAAGGGGTGGGAGGTGCTGGGGGGGACAAGGACAGGTCAGAGGGTGGGGCAGAGGCAGGCACAGGAGTGCTGGGGCTGGAGCAGGGTTCGCACTTCTCCTGAGTCCCAGTCGCAGATGCTGTCCACCCGGAGGGGCTGCTGGAGTGGGTTCCTGCGCTGTGGCAGAGGGGCCACCTCCTGGCTGTGCCGCTGCAGGTCCCCAATGGCCTTCTCGGTGATGGCCAGCTGCTTCTCCTCTGCCTGCCGGGGACCCAGGCAGTGGGGGCTCAGGCCAGGCTGCCCTGGAGGCCACCCCTCCCCGTCCCTGAAGGGAGTCCGAGTCTGGCCTTCATGAAGCCGCGGTCTCTAACTCGGCAGAGTAAAAGGAGCCGCCCCAGGGGCCTGGGGTGCTGGGATCGGCTGGTTGTGGGTAGGGGCTGCCCAGCACCACCCAGGCCCAGAGTGGACACTGGAGGGACTCAGAGCTCTCGCAGGCTGCCCTTGTCAAAGAGGGGAAGGGCTTGCTGGTAACTGGCCAGCCTTCCCCTGTGGAGCAGACCCCCGCCCCTGTCCCCAGGCCAGAAAGATGGGCAGGCCTGATCCCCAGGAGTAGGGTGCAGGTGGCCTGTGGGGTTGTCTCACCTCCAGCTGTCGCAACAGCTCTGTGGGGGCACCAGAGAGGTCCCCAGGGGCAGGGCTGTACTTGGTGTCCAAGCTGGAGGTGAGCTTCGCCAAGGTCTGGCTGACCGAGTCGGCCTCTTCCTGGAACTGAAGTTGCTGGGCGGTCAAGGGCAGAGCCCAGGGCAGCCTGCTGCCCACTGACCCTGCAAACCAGCTAATCCCAACTAACCCTAAACCAGCTGAACCTAAATCACCGCTTTCCCCTACACTATTGGCCTTTTTCTACCCAGGCAGTAGGACCTTTTTTCACTGGAGTTCTCTGCAAATGGGGCATTTTTGGTTCACTGACTTAGAGTCTCGCTTTGTTGCCCAAGCTAGAGTGAGTGCCGTGGCGTCAGCCTAGCTCACAGCAACCTCAAACTCCTGGGCTCAAGTGATCCTTCTGCTTCAGCCTCCCGAGTAGCTGGGACTACAGGCATGTGCTACCACGCCCGGCTAATTTTTTAATATATATTAGTTGGGCGATTAATTTCTTTCTATTTATAGTAGAGACGGGGTCTCGCATTTGCTCAGGCTGGTCTCGAACTCCTGACCTCAAGCAATCCGCCCGCCTCGGCCTCCCAGAATGCTAGGATTACAGGCGTGAGCCACTGCGCCCGGCCCCCTAAAGAGACTTTTTAGACATTTTTTCCTTAAATGCCATCCAACCAACTCCATGAATTTTAATTTCTTTCTTTCTTTTTTTCTTTTTTCTTTTTTTTTTTTTTTTGAGACAGTGTCATGCTCTGTCACCCAGGCTGGAGTGCAGTGGCGTCATCATAGCTCACTGCAACCACAGACTTCTGGGCTCAAGTAATCCTTCCACGTCAGCCTCCAAAGTAGCTGGGAGTACAGGTGTGCACCGCCACGTCCAGCTAATTAAAATTTTTTTTTCCCTAGAGACAGGGTCTTGCTATGTTGCCCAGGCTGGTCTCAAACTCCTGGCCTCAAGCAATCCTCTTGCCTCAGCCTCCCAAAGTGCTAGGATTAAGGCGTGAGCCACCGCACACAGCCCTCATGAAATTTCAATAGCACAGGTATGTTGTGTATCTGTTTAGGTACTGTGCGCAGATCTGTGCTTTATGTATGCAAAAAGTTAAGATATTTTTTCACCCTTAAGAACCAATTTCCACCCTTGTGGGGGTGATATCAACCTGTTGAGCATGCATGCATGCATGACTTTATTTTCCCTCTGGGACCTAGTCACAACCATACAGCTCTGTCTTTTTTAGAGGTGCCTTGGCCCTCACCATGGCAGGTGTCCTGGGGGGCCTCCAGGCACCTGTGCGGCCTGGTGGCCGCCTGCCCCTGCTGCCCGGCCCACAGGCTCACCCTGCGGTAGTCCTCCACGTGCTGCAGCTGGCTCTCCTGGCAGATGCACAGGTTCAGGAAGTTCTGCCACTCCATCTTCAGGGCCTCCTGGTGGGCCTGGGGACAGCAGGAGCCCTGGGACCACGCCCCACCCAGCCGCCCTCCATCCCTCCCTCCCTCCCTCCCTCCCTCCCTCCCTCCCTCTCTGCCCAGCCTCCCTGGGAAGTCCCCGCTGAGGGAGGGCACATCTGGGCACGGGGCGGGGCCTGCGCACCTGGATGGGCGCCACCGCAGGGTGCCCGAGCTCCACCATGCGCTCCCCGTCGTCTTCCAGCTCGTTCACGCTCTGCTCCTGGCGCAGCAGCTCGTGCTGCTTGAAGTGCTGGGGGCGGGCGGGGGCGGAGAGCGGCGGTGAGGACCGCGATGGCCCTGGGGGCCCCTCGTCCCCCCCCTCCATCCCCCGTCCCCGCCCCCGCCCTCCGCGCGCGGACCTCGTACTCGCGCCGCACGCCCGCGGGGTCGGCCATGAGGTCGCTCCAGTCCTGCTGCACGATGCGGCGCTGCTGCTCGGCCAGGGCGCCCAGCTGCCGCGTGCAGCCCTGCAGGTGCGTGTACAGGCTGCCCAGGCTCTGCCCGCGCCACGACGCCGCCTTCTGCGCTCAGGGTGCGGAGAGGAGCGTGGCAAGAGGCGCCGTCAGTTCGCGCAGAAACACTGGCCCCGTCCAGGGCCCAGGCGGCCACCCCCAGCCCAGCTTGCGCCACCCTGCCCGGGCTCCCTCCTGCTCACCAGTAGGTCCCGGTATTGGCTCCGGATGGTGGTCGCGTCCTGCCTCGACCAAGGGGAGGAACAGAGGCCGTGAGAGGGGGGGTGCAGGGGATGGCACCCGCAGGGCTGGGCCAGCTGTGTCCCACCCACTCGCTCCCCAGGGAGCCCATGGATCTAGCTCCAGCTCCCCTGGGAGAAGCGGGGCTGGGGACTGGGCATGGATGCAGGCCCCAGGGAGGGGGGTCACCCACCGGCCCCACAAGGGTCCGCAGCTGCTGCCCATAGGCCTCGATCTCCTTCTGCAGGATGTTGTGCTCGGCCACCTGCTGCTCCAGCTCTGCCATGCCCGGCCCGTACTGGCCCGCGCAGACCTGCTTCTGCAGGGGAGCCCACTCAGCTCAGCCCACTGGACCCCACAGCACCTCCCGCCGGGGCAGAGGAGTTGGTCATTTGGGCAGGGGGTGGCCAGCTAGGGGAGTGCATGGCCTGCTGCTCCCTAGGGCTCAGCCTCTGAAAAGTCTCCCCACTTTGTCCTGCCTCATCTGTGGCCCCAGCCTCAGTGCCTCCTGCCTGGACACCTCCAGCCAAGCTCCAGGACCCCAGCACACTCTGCTCCACCGGCCCCCTCCCCACTGTCCCTCCATTCCTGTCAGGACATCCCTTCTGTTGTGGCATGAAGGCACAACTCCTCACCCTACCATCAGAGTGACCTGGCTCTGCCCACTTGCCCAGAAAACCCCACTTCACGTCACACCCCAGGCTTCCTCCCGGCAGGAGCCTTTGCTCCTTCTTTCTGGAATGTTCTCTCTTCACCACTTTGCTATGACCCAACTGAGCCCTCTCACCTCCCTGAGGAAGACCTTCTCCTGCAGGAAGCCCTCCCTGACTGCACTGTCTGCTCTGCTTTTGCCCTTCCCGGGCCCCTGAGCCACCCCAGGTGCCAGCATGCAGTCAGGCCCTGGATCAGACGCAGTTCTGTATTGTTCTCTGTGCTGGGGTGACTCTGAACCCCTTGGGGGTATCTCAGACATTGGGTGTGCCCTAACCTGTTTCTGCTCCAGCACACGCGCCCAGTCGACCCTGGGCCCCACGTCAGGCGGCAGCACCATCTTCTCGTACAGGGCACGGTACTCGGCACACTCCTGGGTCACCCGCTCGTGCAGCTGCTTGATGCTGCCAAGGAGGTGGCCGGCAGGTCAGGCCTGGGCCTGGGTCTTCCCCTGGGACCCCAGCGCCTCCATCCGGGAGCCCAGCCCCGGCTGCTGCCCCACTCACTCCTTCTCGATCTCCTCGGCCTGCGGGTGCTTGAGCCGCCGGGCCTTGTCTACGTCCAGGAACAGGTCCTTGAGCAGCACCTCGGCCTCCTTCAGGCTGCGGCCCGTCTCCTGCTGGTGCTGCAGGGCCTGGCTCTGCTCGCTGTTCAGCCGGTCCTGGGGCCGTGGGACGGGAGCTTCGCTGGGGCCCAGGGCCCCCACACCCTCGCCGCCCCACCTCTGCAGGCCCGAGCCCCACCTTTGGGACCCCAGCTAGACCAGCCAACCTCACGGTCAGAGGGGCAGGCCCAGGACATCTCTGGGGCAGGCAGCCAGGACATGAGGGGAGCCCTGGGCCCCTCCCTTTGACCCCAAGTTTGGGAGCCCAGCAAAGAAGGAAGGCCGAGCCCTCTCGTCCACTGGGTGCCAGGGAGCGGGCAGTGCAGGACAGGGGCTGTCTGTCCCATCTTCAGCATCACCAGTGGGCACTCTGGGTCCACCACGTGTGACAACAGGCCCCCCATGCCACCGGCCTGCCCCCACGCCCCACCCCCTGCTGCGTGGGCCCACCTGCTGCAGCCTCTTCTGGGTCTCCAGGATGTCCCTCTCCACCTGGTCGGCATTGGCTTGCATGCGGGAGATGAGCAGGGCCAGTTCCTGGGTGGCAGCTCTGGTGGGTGGTGGGGACAGAGGGCACCATGGTGGCCTCTCTGTGCCCCACCCAGGTGCTGTGCCCTGCTCTCCCTCTCCCACATCCTGCCCTACAGCCGGCTAACTGTCCCGGAGGGAGGAGTCCATGACCTGGGGGGACTCTGGGGTCTCTGTCTGCGGGAGACCCTGCGAGATACTCAGTCCCGGGGACAGTGGTGAGAACATTGTCCCCAACACGAGGGTTCAGAAAGTGAGGGTCTCAGGTGTGCGTGGCACAGGGGAGCAGGTGGGCCCGACATCTGCAGCCTCAGCCAGCTGTCCTGGCAGTGAGTTCCTGACCCCGCCCAGCTGCCTGCCCGCTTCCTCGGGTTGGCGGGTGGTGGCCCAGCGAGCTGGTGAGTCACCGGCTCAGCCACTAATACCTGAGAGCCTGGCTGGGCCCTGAGGAGTGGCCGTTGGGCCGGCTGAGGGCAGGGAACAGTGGCATGTCCCCCATCCCACTTCCTCCCACTCCAGGCCTGTCACCCCTCCTCATCCCTCCCCACCCCTCCCCCACCCAGGGGCTGCGCCAGTGTCCAGGGTTTAGCTACCATCTGGAGGAGCTAAGATTGCTGGGGTCCCCAACACTCTCCAGATGTGAGGGTCCAAAGCCCAGCTAGGGATCTGGCTTGCTATGGGTCACAAGGACAGGAACAGAGGGTAAGCCTGATTCTTAAGCCCCGGGGTTCTTGACCATGCATTCATTCAGCGGCCTCTAATAGAGCACCCACTGTGTGCATTCATTCAGCAGCCTCTAATAGAACACCCACTGTGTGCATTCATTCAGAGGTCTCTAATAGAGCACCCACTGTGTGCTTGCACTCAGACTCTGGAGGTCACAGCGTCAAGCAGACCTAAAAGAAATAAGGGCAGGCCAGGCGCGGTGGCTCACGCCTGTAATCCCAGCACTCTGGGAGGCCGAGGCGGGCGGATTGCTCGAGGTCATGAGTTCGAAACCAGCCTGAGCAAGAGTGAGACCCCGTCTCTACTATAAATAGAAAGAAATTAATTGGCCAACTGATATATATAGAAAAAATCAGCCGGGCATGGTGGTGCATGCCTGTAGTCCCAGCTACTCGGGAGGCTGAGGCAGGAGGATCGCTTCAGCCCAGGAGATTGAGGTTGCTGTGAGCTAGGCTGACGCCATGGCACTCACTCTAGCCTGGGCAACAAAGTGAGACTCTGTCTCAAAAAAAACGAAAAAGAAATAAGGGCAGAGTGGTCCGAGCCTCCTGAGCATGGCACCTTGTTGGGGGGGTCGTAGTCCCGGGGAAGGGGAAGCCTTCACTGAGCTGGGCCTTGAACTACGGGTCACAGGACAGGACAGGTAGAGCGGCAGTGGTAACAGACACATCAGTCGGAAAGAACTCTGTGGCCCCTGGGTTGGATCCTTCTCCATCACAGCTGCTGTGTGACCTTGGGCAAGTTATTCAACCTCTCTGTGCCTGAGGTTTTTCCACTTATAAAATGGGGGTTTAATAATCATATCTACCCCTCAGGGTTATTGTGAGCACTAACCACATCAATCTATCTGTGGCGGCCAGTGCAGAGCCAGGGGCAGAGTGAGCACGAGTTTTTATTCCTCTCGAGGGTAGGCGCCTTGAAGGCAGGGACCGGTCAGTTCTGTTTACGGCAGCAGCGCCAGGGCCAGAACGGTCCTGGACGCAGTGAGTGCTCACGAGTTGAATGAGTGGCTTGCACACGAGGGGAGTGAGGAGCCCTCTTTGGGGTGCTGCAGCCTGAGCCAACAGGGCCCTGAGGACAGAGCTGCCCCAGGCCGGGAGCAAACCACCCGGGAGCCGCCGGACAGGGGGAGCTGCGGGCCCTGAGCCCGGGGAGGGGCTGTTCCCACTGGGAGCCGCACACTCCACCCTGGGCTGGGCTCAGGTGCCCCAGGGAGGACGGGTCGCTCGGGTGAGAGTCTTAACTGCTCTTTCCTGTCTGCCCAGATGCCCGGCCTCAGTGTCTCTCAGTGTCTGTCGATGCCTATCGGGTGATGGGCGGCCGCCCCCACGCCAGCCTTTCCTCTCAGCTCTTATCTGGACACCCCGACCCAGGCAGGGCGCTGGAGCCGGCCAGTGGGAAGACACGGCCAAGCCCACCTGCAGAGAGCAGCGTGACCCCAGGCAGGCACAGCACCCCCTCCATACACCCACAGGAAAAGAAACCCCCCAACTCTTTAATAAAATCCCAAAGGCCCAGGCACACCCGCCTTGTCCTCCTGCCTGCCCTGCACCGGGGCCCAAGTGTCAGCCCAGCCAAGCAGAGCCTTGAGGGCACAGCTGTCAGGGGAGCAGGCTCTCCTGTTTCCCGGCCCCCTGGCAGGGGACCCGGAGGCCTAGGCTCCTGCCCAACACCTCTCCCTCAGAGTGGTTCCAACCCGCCGCCCTCAGGCCTCCCCGGAGAACGTGGGGAGCGCCAGGCCATCTCTTGCCTCCCTCCGGGGCTGGAGCTTGGCCTGATCCAGCAGCTCCTGCGCAGGGAGAGAGTCCGCCCCTGGGCCCTTTGGCCTCGGGACACCAAATGCCAGCACTGGGCTGGTCCTGGGCTCCGGGCTGCCGCTGCCAGGTGGCTGGAACACCTGGGACAGGCACCACCCCCACCCCAGCTCCCCAGCCCCACTCACCGGCTATGCTTGCTGGGGGACCCCTTGGGCGACCCCTTGGCTGGGGAGCCCTTGGGGGACCCCTTCCCCTGGGAGCCTTTGCTCAGCCCCTTGAACATGGTCGTAAAGGCAGATGCTGGCCCAGGCTGGGTTTGGCCGGCGCAGGAGGGCAGGTGGGTGGCAGGCGGGCGTCCTCGCTGGCTGGTCAGCAGGGCTCTGGCGCCGTGGGGCGGCCGGGCACCGGGGAAGGCAGTTTCTGGGAGGCCCCTCCCTGCAGGTGAGGCGGCGAGCGGCCTGGGCCCAGGGCTCACCCACGCTGGCTGCACTCACGCCCGCTCCTGCACAACCAGTCTGGGAGGAAAGGGCACGGCCCGGAGGGCGGGGCGCCAGCCTGCCCGACTCCCACAGAAGGTTTGGGCTTGTAACACCCACACGCCCAGAGGGAGCCGGCAGCGATCACGCCCAGGTGGGGCCATGGCCGGGCCTGGAGAGACGGAGCTGGAGACAGACACACAGGCGGGCGCAGGCCCAGGGAGGCCCCAGCCCTGGGGCTCGGGTTAATAAACACCTGCAGGCGCGCTGAGAGGCCCGCTACCAGGCAGGCCCCCACCCAGGGCTCATGCCCCACCAGGAGGGGTGGGGCCGTCCCGCCAGCCCGGGACTCCAGGTCTCCACTCCCTGTTCCCCACCGACATGATGGGGCAGCCAGGGCACATTCACCCCCCACAACTGGCACAAGGTACATTTGAGAAAGTGGGCAGCGCCCAGCTGCTTCCTCTGACCACGACCCGCAGTCTCAGCGGCCCGTCTTCCTGGCCGGCTCAGAGCTGGAAGCAGTAGGACGTGCGTCACTGGGATCCTCAAAAGATTCTCAGGCCAACTCGAGAGAGGCCAGGACGTGCACTGGACGCCCTCCCCCAGGCGCCACCAGCGCTGGCTGTCAGGCGCTCCCAGCCCAGGCTCCGGCTGAGTCCTGGCAGCCCGCTGCACGTGGGTTTCCCACCCGCCTCTCCCTCTGCCCCAACTCCCCTGCCTGGAAATGTCGGACAGTGATGCCAGTTTATTGGCCTTTGCCTTACCTCCAGGGCCAGGGCTGCTGCCTTGTCCTTCTCCCGTGGTCCCAGGGGTCTCAAGACGGGGGTGGATGCCCCGGCTTCTGGGCACTCCTTTCACTGGCCCAGCGCGGTCCCGGATCAGTACTGAAATCCACAGTTTTGGTGGAAGCGGGGCTTGTGAGGAGCCAGGGGAAGGAAAGGACACGCTAGGGTTCGGGCATCAATATGTCCTGGCGGGCCCAGCTGAGGACCGAACACATCCCAGCAGGAGAGAAAGGGCCCAGCACACTGGGAAGACCAGGGACGGCGGCCTGGGGCTGGCCACATGCCCCAGTGGGACAGGAAAGTCTTGTGTCCCTTTTGGCTGCATCTAGTGGGCCAACCCCTGAACTGGCGTTGGGGGTACCCAGGAGCCCCCCATTCCTGGAGGAGGAGGGGCTGACAGTGGCAGTTGGGAGGGCAGAAGGGACCCTGATAGGTGAGTAGCAGGAAACAAAGTGGTCTCCTGTGCCTTCCAATTAGTGAGTTGGCACCCCAGCCCCTGGCTCCACTTTATTCCTGGTGACAATTACCTTCTAAGCCCTAATTGCATGACTGCAATCAACTGTTGTCAGAAAAAGGCCATTTGTTTATATGACATGGCCAGGGGCCAGCTGCTACCACCCCTGCCTCTCTTCTCAAGCCCAAGTCAGCACAGCTGCCTTCAGCTTTGCGACTGGCCCTTCCTGGGGGTGGGTGGCCACTGGAAGCGGGGCTCAGCGGGGCAAGATGTCATCCACCACACTGGGCAGGGGAGAGAACTCTGGGTAGGGGGTGGGCAGCAGAAGGTGGGCTGGGGTGGGGGCGGGCTGAGGTCTGCAACATTTGCACGTCCCCTCTCTGCAGAAGCCCTCCTGGAACTAAATAAGCCCTGCGGGGGCCCCTCACACGCCCCGGAGATTAAGCGCTGATTCACTGCAAGAAAAACAAGAGCTGACTTCCTGGCGTGACTGTCTCACGCTGGATCAAATCAGACCCAAGGGTTGCTGGGCAGCTGGTAGGAGCACCTGGGCTCTCATGCTCCTGCTCAGATGGCAGTGACCCTGGTCCCCAGAAAGAAAACAGGAGAAAGGATAGTGGCAGAGAAGCGTGGGTCTCTCTATGCTTCGCCTCTGGTCTCTTGCCCTTTGGAGAGAGAAGAGTAGTTCAGTTAGAGGGCCAGGTTGGGACTGACGGGCTCGATGAAGACCCTTGATGTCACACAAGGAAGCCACAAGCCCTGCTGTGTGTGGCTGCTGAGCGTTTGAAGGTGCTGGGTCCACACTGAGATGCCCTCTATGTGTAAAATTCACGCCGGATTTCAAAGACTTACTATGAAAAAAGAATGTGAAATATCTCATAAATTTCTTGTATTGATTATATATTGAAATATTTGGATATATTAAGTGATTTTTTATTCTTGTTTTTTGAGACAGGGTCTTGCTTTGTTGCCCAGGCTGGAGTGTAGTGGCCCGATAGTATCTCACTGCGGCCTTCAACTTCTGGCCTCAAGTAATCCTCCTGCCTCAGCCTCCCACGTAGCTGGGACTATAGGTGAGCACTACCATGCCTGGCTAATTTTTCTTATTTTTGTAGAGACGAGGTCTCACTATGTTGCCCAGGCTGGTCTTGAACTCCTGGCCTCAAGCAATCCTCCCACCTTGGCCTCCCGAAGTGCTGGGATTACAGGCCTGAGCCACCATGCCCAGCCAGAAATGTATTTTAAAATTTTACCTGTTACTTTTTATTTTATTTTATTTTTTAATATAGCTACTAGAAAATTTAAAAGGACAAACGAGGCTTGCTGAGGACATCTCCGTGTGGACCCAGCACCTTCAAACGCTCAGCAGCCACACACAGCAGGGCTTGTGGCTTCCTTGTGTGACATCAAGGGTCTTCATCGAAGCCATTTGTGGCTCATGATAGAGTTCTATGAGACAGCTGACCCAGAAGCCAGACAGCATCCCCTGACCTTTCCCGGCCTCAGCCTCTATCATGTCTCCTTGGTTTTGTAAAAAATTTATTTTTGGCCGGGCGTGATGACTCACGTCTGCAATCCTAGCACTCTGGGAGGCCGAGGCGGGAGAATCGCTCAAGAACAGGAGTTCGAAACCAGCCTGAGCAAGAGTGAGATCCCATCTATACTAAAAATAGAAATAAATTAATGGCCAACTAAAAATATATAAAAAAAATTAGCCAGGCATGGTGGCGCGTGCCTGTAGTCCCAGCTACTTGGGAGGCTGAGGCAGGATAGCTTGAGCCCAGGAGTTTGAGGTTGCTATGAGCTAGGTTGATGCCACAACACTCTAGCCCAGGCAACAGAGTGAGAGTCTGTCTCAAAAAAAAATAATATTTTTTATTTAAAATTTTTTTTTTTTTTTTTTTGAGACAGAGTCTCACTTTGTTGCCCAGGCTAGAGTGCCGTGGCATCAGCCTAGCTCACAGCAACCTCAAACTCCTGGGCTCAAGCAATCCTCCTGCCTCAGCCTCCCGAGTAGCTGGGACTACAGGCATGCGCCACCATGCCCGGCTAATTTTTTCTATATATATTAATTGGCCAATTAATTTCTTTCTATTTATAGTAGAGACGGGGTCTCGCTCTTGCTCAGGCTGGTTTTGAACTCCTGACCTTGAGCAATCCGCCCGCCTCGGCCTCCCAAGAGCTAGGATTACAGGCGTGAGCCACAGCGCCCGGCCCTATTTAAAAATTTTTTGAGCTATATGTAGGAAGACAGTGTCTCCTGACCTTGAAGGGCCCAGCTTCTCGTCCTGCCCCTGAGGCCTTGGTGGGCCCTTCTCCTTGCCCGGCCGTGGCTTTCTCCTCTTCAGATTGAGATGAAATGACCCCTGAGGCTCCCTCAGCCTGCGCCAGCTGTGACTGTCAAGGCAGCGCACTCGCTCCCGAGCCTGCAGCCCCAGGCTGACACGGGAAGCTCACAGCTCACCGAGCCTGCAGCCTGAGCAAAGAAGGCTGATCAGATGGAGCCGTGAGCCTCCCAGCTGGAGGATGCCGGGCACGGCCGGGCACACGTGTGGCCACCCACACAGCCAGGCCACAAGGTGGCCACTTGGCAAGTGTGCCAGGGGTTCAGCCCGGGGAAGCCCACTCTCCTCCAGCTTGGGGGGCTCCTGCAGGGAGGGCATTCTTGCTGTTGAAGCAGATGGTGGCAATGGCCTCCTTTGCCCTGGGAGCCGTAGCTGCCAGGCTCCCACGTGCTCCCTGCTGAGGGAAGGCTTTGCTGTCTCAGGAAATTGCCCTCTGTTTATACAAAGCCTCTGCGGCCAGACCCTTGGACCGAGGCTGAGCGATAACCCCTCCTCACTCACTTCCTTGGCCTGCCGAGCAGCGGATGTGCCCGCTACTAGCTTGGCCGGGGGAGGACCCGGCCTGGTGGGGAGGGAGCTAAAGGGATGAGCCTCCTCCCATTGTCTGCTGGTACAGGCTTGGGGGGCAGAGGCTGTGGCCCCAGAAATCCACAGGGCTGTCTAGAGGCAGGTCTTCTGGCTGCACATGTGCCAGCAAGTCTGACAGAGAGAAATACCACCGTCTGCCTAGAGGGAAGCCAAAGGTGACATGGCCTTGCCTAACTGGACAGGCTTGGGGGAGCAGATGCTGGTTATCCCTTTTGGGCCCTTTACAGGCAGGGTCTAGCAACTGAAAAAAACCCAAAAGACAAAACCCAATCAAACCTTGACGATGTCATTTAGTATAGGATTCGCTATACTAAATGGCTCAAGTCCAAGGCTACCTCAGAGTCTGTCCCTTCCTAGGAACAATCCCCATGGGACTGGTGCTGGTGCAGCCCACACCTCCCGGCCCCCACTGCTGCCTGGTGCACGAGCCATCCCTGCATTCCAGAAGGCTGCAGCCTGCCCAGTGCTGTTCAGGAACCGCCGGGCCAGGCTCTGGGCCTCTCTGCCACCTTTAAGACATTGGCTATCCTCGATAGCTAGATCTAGGACCTGCGGCCCTACTGTGCACAAGGTCAGGTCTGAGGGAGGCAGCTGGCTGTGTCCACAGCAAGAACGCACTCTACCAGTAAGGCGACCTCAACAGAAGGGATCCAGTTGCACCAGGCCCTGTTCACTGGTCTGAGGGAGAAAAAGTTTATAAATCAAGCAGACAAAACAGAACAGCCCTCATAGCTGAGGGCTCTGCCTGCCTGGTCTGTCTTTGTTGCCAGGAAATCGGAAAGGGGAGACTAAACCACCAGGCACATGGGGCAGCTCACTGGACCCAACCTGTTGTCTGAATGGCGTTGCCTAGACTCTGGAGGACTTAGTCCGGGAAGGGGAAGACGGGGCACAGGCTCACCTCCCAGCCCTGTCTACCCACAGCCTGGGGCCCACAGCCCCACTCTGACTTGGGACCCTGGGCTCAGACCACGCCAGGGGAACCTCCTCACTGTCCGGCTA